CTCTGTTTAAACGAAAAAAAGGAAAACTTCTGCAAATGAAGAAAAGAATATAGCTAACGCAAACGTCATCATCGCCTTCGTCTCATTCTCACTCTGCTGGGCACAGCAACTCAGAAAAAAATATCAACGAAATTTCATTTCATAACAAAAAGTTGGTGTAAAAAACTGAAAAGTTAAAAAGAAATTATATCTCTATGGGAAATGGAAAACAAACACATCTATATACATATATACATTTATAAAGTGGCCGCAAAAACCATATTAAATAGATGACCAAAAGGAGAACAAATAACAGACAGAGAATGTTGATAAGGAAGGTAGGGTCGATAATTCGAGGCGTTGCTGTAGCTTAAAGGTGGAATCGGGAAAACAGTTATACATTTGACATTTTTTAGCATAAACGTACTGATTAGGCTGTACCTTAATACGACCACGTGTTATTTATAGTGACTTGAAAATCAATTTGACTAAAAGTGGAAATAACTCTCGTGAACATTTTGTGCGTCCGCTTTTTGAAGTGGAATATGGCGCACGAACACGATTTAATGGACGACCATGTGCTGTGTTGTTTACAGTGGCCTCTTGCGGTCACTTTCACAAATTTGCCGATGAAGCACTATTCCGTAGAATTTCGAAAAACTGGTTTAATAAATTCAGTCATATCCCGCACTAGCTCTTAGACGAAAGTTGTCCAAATACGAACATTGATGCTGTGCGTGAATTGTTATGCAAGATTGTTATGTTATATCCCGAGATTTAAACAAGTGAAAAACATGAACATATAGGGAAAATACCAAAAAGTGGACCTATATCGACATTTCCACAAACCGGTTATGTAAACCACAATGTAAACTATAAAACAAATTTCAGAAATTTTTAATGGGCAATTATACCCTCAGCTTTATGGATAATGAGGGTGTATACATTTTGACACGGTTAAAATGGTTCTAGACCCCATGTTTTTTTGATTTCATCTAAACTTTGGCCATTTTATTATTTCTTCCATACTTAGTTCAAGTACGAAGATGGGGAATATCGGTCCACTCCTTCTGGTACCTCCCACACAGGGCTAGGTCTAAATACGGGTTATAGTTCATATATAGTTCATTATCGAACCTTACGTTCTAGTTTTTTATCTCGATATCCTCCGAAGGTGATATGATTACAACAGAGTATTAGAACCAAACCCAAAACGCGAACAAATTGCATAACTATTTTAATATACACCAGTAAGGAAAGTAGTAAAGTCGGGCGGGGCCTACTATATGATACCCTTCACCACTATGGGTATATTAAACAGGACTATTAACATGAAATTGGATGAAATAATATATGTGATATTTATCTAAATATGAATCTACCTAGATTTATCCATAAAGTATGTAAATCGACTTCAAACAAATATAAATAGGTCATACGTTTGGCTATGTCTGTACTTCTAGAAAACGCAACTACGTAATTCTATGCTCCATTTTGTACGTTGTGCAAAATTTGATGTCAATCTGACTAACATGAGGAGATTGATGCCCAATTTACTTGAAATCCGGCGAAAATATATATGGAAGCTCTACCCAAATATTAAGCGATTTAAAGCAAACTTGTCACAGGTTAGGTTATACTAATTTCAGAACGTTTTGTTCCTATTGGTTCCTTAGTGCGTCAATTACTTAAAATCAATCTATAATAAAAGGGAGCTATATCTAAATCTGGACCGATTTTCATGAAACAATGCAGACATCACTCTAGGCTCAATTCAGTACGTTACGCCAAATTTCGTGTAAATCGAAGGATATATAGGGACTTTGTGGCACCATTTACATGTATTCGGACGAAACTATATATTGGAGCTATATCTAAATCTGGAACGATTTTCTCGAAACTTGGCAGACATCACTCTAGGCTTAATTCAGAACGTTATGCCAAATTACGTGCAAATCAAAAGATATATAGGGACTTTGGGACACCATTTACATAAAATCGGACGAAACTATATATGGGAGCTATATCTAAATCTGGACCGATTTTCACGAAACTTGGCAGACATCATTCTAGACCTAAATGATTAGGCTGTACCAAATTTCGTGCAAATCGAAAGATATATAGGGACCGTTTACATTAAATCTGTTAAATATATATATATATATATATTGGAGCTATATCTAAATCTCAACCGATTTTTCCCAATTTCATTAGGGTTCATCCTTGGGCCGAATAAGTGACCTATGCCAAATTTCATCCAATTCGTGATTCTATGCATATTCTCAATAGGAACCATGTGTCTATCTCGTTTCCTTTTGCCTGTTACAAACATATACACAAAGACATAATACCCTGTACCACAGTGTGGTGAAGGGTATAAAAAGAAAAATACGGAACATTTTTGGGGGTTACTTCAAAACTTGCACAATTTTTGGTATAAGTCAGTCTTTCAGAATTTTTAATATCAAATTACAGCTTCATCGGTTGTAAAATCGGTTAAAGTTTTCAAAATGCCGAAAATGGGATGGTACCGGTCCATGGCAGCTATACCAAACTGTAAACTGATAGTGATAATTTTTGGTAGGAAGTTTTGACACCCCATAAGAATTATAGCGAATATGCCTAAAGCCCCAAAAATTCTGAATTATGGGTGTACAATTATATGGAGGCTAATTGGAATCTTGGGCCAATGTTGATCATTTTAGATAGGAAGATTTTCTACTCAATGATACTCAATAAAATTACAGCTGATATAATTAAACCAATAGTCCAAGCTCCCCGAAAATTTGGGATGTAGCATAATATGGGGATTCCGTAAAAAGTGAACCGACATTGATCATGTAGGAATATTTGACACAACATCAGAACCTGAAAAATCAAAAATCCACAATACAATATAACAAAATTAATATGTAGGTCCACGTTTACTGGTAGCCGCCATACAAAGTTACCCCTATTTTGAGTATTTACCCAAAAATTGGGTATAAACTCATTAACTGGCGAACCACTTGACATAGTCAGTCAAAATTTGGCTCAGATGGTTTTTATATCAATACAAATACTGGTGTGGAAAAAAGTTTTCATATAGCCCTCATATTGTAAAATGTTTCTAATAGACAAAAAAATACCTTAAATCGGGAGATACGGTTATATGGGGGCTATATCAAAACCCAGGGATCCCATTTTGGATTTCTATATTTGCTTTGACATTAGAAACTTGTGTGCAAAATGTTGGTCGCCTATGTCGAGTGGTTCGGCAGTTAATGAGTTTATACCCAATTTACCCAAGCCTTTATTTACCCACGTCTTTAAAGTATCGTAAAACTATCCATTCTAAATCGATTTGATAACATATACCCGGAAATAGGGTTTAAGATGTTGTATTACCGATTAAATATAGTAAATGCCCAAATAAATACCCGCGAATGGGTATTTACCCACCCCTTGGGTATTTGCCCGGTAAATACCCGGTAAATACCATCTCTAACCATGGGTCAATATTGATCATTTTTCGAAGGCAGATTTAAAAGCCAAAGTCTATTCAAAAACCAAATTACAGCTAATTCTGTTGAAAAAAGTGTCTAAAACTCCCTAAATACCGAATACCCCCCATTATTCGGTATTTTGGTCGTTATATTGATCAACCCTAAAATCTGGACCAACATTGATCATTTTCAGTAAGATCATACCGAATTTTGGTGGTACTGTTATATGGGGACTATACCGAAACGTGGACCGATATACCCCATTTGCAATTCCAACCATCCTAGGAGTAATAACAGTGCCAGTGCAAAATTTCAAAGCTCTATCTCAAATGATTTCTATCCTGATTTCAACAGAAAGGACAGCTATAAATTAACATAGAATTTTATTCTGATCATGAATATTTATATTTTATTGGGTCTCCGGTGAATATTTAGGATATTTAATAGAATATTAATGAATATTTAAGAGGAAATTGTGGTTGGGAAGAGACTGTAGCAGTTAGAAGTATTTGAAGGCCTTTGCACCATCGTTTCTCTCGTCCGCTAAAAATAACGCTCATGTATTGAAAGTATTTCCGAAGACCCGAATGTGTATGTTTTATTTACGTTTACTTTCGAAACCACGAAATGGATATCCTTATATATTGCCTATGTGGTGTAGGTTATACTATAGTCGTCCGACTATGTCAGCAAAGAAATGTTACCGAATAAATTTTCACTGCATAGATAACAGAAACCACTCTTCAATACTAAATCTATACGTTATGGTACCTGTCCCGCAATGATGACAATCCTGGCCTATCTTCGTTGTGTCCAAAAGGGACGAACATCAAAAATAAACTATTAAATGCTCTGTTAATTTTTCTGCACACTACGTGACACGTACACAATGGCCCATTACGTGAATACAAAGTTGATTTAACCTAAATTTGAGCAGAACATGGATGTTAAGTAACCTACCAACAAAAAATAAAAATAAAATTTTTTTATCTGCAAACTCAACGATGAAAGCTAAAAAAGTGAAATCAAATAAATGAAAAAAAAAAAAATAAAATAAAATGGAATGGAATGTGTTTTGAACTCAAATGAGAACAAATTCAAATGCCCGAATCGTGAAATGTCAGGTGGGCAAATGGGAACAAATGTAATTGTATTTGTGGTAGCAGTTTTTAAATTTCTGTAAATATTGGCAAATTGTAATCCATTGTTCTAGAACGAAGACAAAGTATCAATATAGAGTGAAAAATTATGTCGAAATGTGTAATTTTTGAATCGAAACATCTTTCGTGTTGACACAAATTAATTTTTACATTTTAATATTTTTTTCAAAATACCATCATGCATACCAATTGATTTGAATTCTGACATTAAACTTTACATAGATTTGTTTGCAAAAATATAACAATTCTCCCCCAACTTTGACATGAACCAGCATAAATTTTGAAATTCCATTTTCAAATGCTTACAAAATTGTTCAAAATTGCCAAAGACAAAGAACAAAGCTTTTTCTGAAATGTTGTGCATTGTTATACTTACCATCACACCACAATGTGGCAGATATACATGCATCAATTTCAGGACATTTATATTCACAGTCTGACTCTTTTGGATAGAATCCAAAATCACTTAGCGTATCGTTGCCACTGGTGCCGGTTGTGGTAATCACACCACCGCCTCCACCACTACTACTCGTACCGGTACCTCCTGCACCACCACCCACTGTACTGGTGGTTGTTGTATTGCTTTGCAAATCAAATTGTTGTAATAATGCATTTTTCGTACGATAAATCTCCAGCCATGTGAAGGCAATATCTCCGGGTTCCTTTAATATGGGCTCCAATACCAAACTAACCGGCCTGCAAGAGAGAATACAAGAATTGTAGAATATTTAGAAAACACATATACACACACACAGTCAGACAAACAAGCAATAATTGTTAACAGAAAATTGCATAGAAAATTCTGAAAAAATATTAGAAAAAATCTATTTTTCCAAAATATCCTATTTGTAATTGAAATCATATTTAATAATAACACAAGGCATTGGAATCAATTTGTTTTGGGTGTTCAAAACCACATATGTACAGGGGAAGAATTGAAATTGCATTTTCAATTTATTTTTGTTATGATGGAGGAAAGGAATATTTTCTCTCTCCTCACTCACAATTAAAAGGGTTACACAAATTTTTGAAGAGTCTATAATTCGAAATGTTTTTTTGCTGAATGAAAACATTTTGATATTTTATTTTTAAACAGAAAAAAGTTTCTGAAAATAATTTAGTTTTTTTTGGGGAAACGAAATAAACAGCTGTATTCAAAAAGTAGATGCTTGCCGTCGTATTGGTTCTAGTGGCCTTCTATGTAAGAACTATTGGTATACTATGAGATATATATGAGATGTATGATATTAGTTTTAAAGGGAAACCCTATTGGTATTCTATCAAACTTCCAGCCAGGAAAATAACTTATAGTCGTACTTTAAATAACTTTCGGGATTTAATAGATAACGTTATCCTGCTCCACTGTAGAAACAGGTAAATACGGGTTAATTCTCAAACTCGAATTCTCGATCTTTTTATATCACACATGGATACTAACTGTTATTTGTCTTTTCGATTGCAGTACCTTGAAATATTTGTCGAAGATTCCAATAGTATATATGTATTCGTGATCTTAATATCTGAATATAGTTCGTCTGTCCGTCTGTTTTTTGAAAATACGATACAGATCGTTTTGAAATATTGCACAAAGATTACCAGTACCTCTGATATGATCGGGTTTAAAAAATGATATACATCAATCCCCGTTCTTAGATAGGTCCGATATAACGATACCGCCTAATTTTTACACAATCCATCTTAAGGTAGGGTGTATTTTGTGTTTGTCATTCCCTTTGCAACACCTCGAAATATTGTAATATTTTTCAGTATATTTCACTCAAATCTGCTGCAAATCAGCAAGTTTGAAAAGAACGTAGATTCACTTTTTTGGCCTTATAGGTCCATGTTTTGGTATAGCCCCTCTGTATGGCTCCGTTCCATTTTGAGTATTTGAATGGTCCTAGTCCCATTTTCCAATTAAAGCTTTGGTAAACCAATCTTTGTAAGAAGTTTAAATATAATGGGTTCATGTTTTGATATAGCCCTGATGTAATGGTCCTCCCCATTAAGCGTTTTCTAGCCTCATTTTTTGATATATGTTCCAACAGAAGTCGCTCTGAACTGTGCCTTATCGAAATATTAGTTTCATACCCCGTGTTTCTTTGACCCAAATCCATTTCAGAAAATACCGAGTCGATTTACAAATGTCCGTCTGGCTGGTTGTTGCGCCCGATAAGTATCGAATGGAGATTTCAGTTCGAAGTTCCTTCTGGTACCTCCCCCACAAAATGGTCAAAATTTTTCTGAAAAATAATTTTATAATACCATGCGAACGGACTATCCAATTTGAACCAAACAACCTAGTATTATTACCAAGCCTATACCAAGTTCGATGATGGTCCACTCCTTATCATTATTATCATGACAAGTATTCATCAAAGAACATAAATATTTGTATGGCGATGAAGCTTCATCCTTTGGTTCTGTGAAAATCTAGTTTAATGAATTAAATTGTGGATGATGATCGAAGGTCTTTCGAAATCGGACGTTATGCCAATAAACACTCATGTGACATACCGCGAGGTAACGGCATTCATGGGTATTTCCACCACCAGAATACATTCAATATTGCATGAACACTTGACCCGTTGGATCCCGCAAAGTTAGACAATCGCTCAAAAATGTAAAACAATTCAGCAAAAAAACTATCGCAGTGCTTCGAAAGTCATTTATAAGATCATCGCAGGAAATTATTGATAGAAGAAGCACTTCGACCTATTGACAGTTTTTTTTTTTTTTTTTTTTTTTTTTTTTGAGCCTAACATGGAAAAACTGGTTATGGGGCAACAGTTCTGATTGAACAACGTATAATGAAAATTTTTGAATGACACACCAAAATTTGTTTATCTGGTGACCTCGGAAAAATTCTTTGTTTCACCATGGCAATGCGAGCTCTCATGCATTGGCTCAAATAAATACCTTTTGACCGGCTAAAATTGTGGAATTTAGGCATTATCTGCCATTTAGCCGTGTCTTGGCACTAATTCCGCGAGGTGTTTCAATTTAGTTTTTTCTGCTATTACTCGCCTTGGTCGCATAGGACTTCCACAAAGCATATCCATCTTACTCGAGCGGCCCTTCGTCAATGATTGGTCTGCTGTAGCCAGTCCTGGGAAAACATGACCAGTCCTTAGAAAACATGACCCATTAAATGTTGATACTTCTCTTGGGAACATAGGGCTTCCACAAAGCATATTCATTTTACTCGAGTAGCCGTTTCGTCATTTTCATTTATGATTGGTCTGTTTATGCAAGAAGAAGTTCTATAGAAGAAAAGGGGCCTGTTAATATTCTGTAAAATATAACGTCTAGTATTGGCATTTTATTGAAGATGGCTTATTGATATTAAATTGTCTCCTTTTTGATATCGAATAACTTCAATATCCAATATTTTTGTCTAATGCTCCACCTTTGACCTTCAAATTGGAATTTACTATTGTTTTAACCTATTCTATTTCATAACATTCCCCTACATGGAAACCCATTATAATATTCAAATACCATCCCCTCTCCGAAAAAAACATTTTGTCTCACACGCTTCCACCCAACAGGGAAATTAACTTAAATTTTAATCCTAATATATTAAACATTTCTGTCACAATATTAAATGATACTCACGAAACATATGTACATATATATCAGCTTATGCTTTAAATCAGAAAAAAAAACTGTTGGAGATAAAAAATTACAGCAAACATCGAACACAGACATTTTAAATATGGATACCGTTGTCATGTCATTTGAGATTAGTGTTATCCCTTAGAGATATTCTGATGGCTAGTATTACACAATAAGACGCCTCTGGTCAACAGATTGCGGGGGGAAAATACACATGCAGACACAAACATTTTACATACATACTCGCACTCATTTATTATGAGGAGAAAAAAACGAAAACATGAACTCATGATGTTGAAACATAATTTTTTTCGGGTTTACTTCATTCGTTGGTGCAGGTTGGATGTTTGGGGGAGGGATGTTTTTGGTGTCTCAGTGTTGCTATCATTGTTGGTTTATTTTTGGTAACTGGGTCTTGGCACTTTGGAACCAAATCAGACTGCGAGCGACAGAGAAAGAAAGATGAAAAGATGCGAAAAAACGAACTGACAATGAATGGTTTAGGGCGACATAAACACGCATGGACAGTTACCAACCAACGGATGAGTGGACGAAATAACAAACGAACACACACATACACAGCCAAACACGCATGCAAACACAATTTTCCCCAGAACATATTCACTTAAACATGTACCGCTCTTACCAAGTGCCGAATAGAAAGAAGTGAAATGAACTTCCATGAATGTAGAACAACGTCAACAACATATGACTGGCTGTAACCTCAGGCCAAAGATATGCACAAGCAACCAATAGACAGTGTTTTCAAGAGTCTATCTAACTGTGGTAAGGTCAAAATTTACTATGCCAATTTTGTGTCAATAGCTTCTAGGGACATTCTTCTCAATGATATAGCGTTTATAATGACGGTATCCAAAATTCTCGATTAAGGTTCTGTCCTTTATTTGGTATCGCTTACTGCGACCGATTTTCCGGATCCCTTGACCCTCGCTTTAAGCGATTTCGACTGGAATATGGTCACAGCACACGCCATGTAAACATGTAGACCTTCTAAGAAGATTATATATTGGTATTTGGTATATAGAAACCCTCATATTGGACACATTGTTCTTTTAGGAGAAGAACCCCGTTTTTACTTATGTGAGAAGAATACATATTGCTATTCTGCAGGATGAGCAAAAGAGGTCTTCTTTGCAAATACTTCGATGCGAGGATGACCCACTTTATTATACTGAAGAATGGTATTCTAGGAAAGAAACCCTATTCGATTCTTATTCAATAGATCCTATTGACTTTCGATAGATATGAATGCGGAAATAGATATACAGGTCTTCTTTGGGAAGAAGATCTTCTGATCTTCTTTGGGAAGATCTACTGATCTTCTACGGAACGAAGATATTCTGGTCTTATATGGGAAGAAGACCTGTTCCAGAAGACCTTACGTCTAAGAAGACCTTATGGTCTTCTACAGAAGATGACCTCTTGGACTTATATCAATGAAAAACACTTTGACTTCTATCGAAGAAATTCTCTTGGACTTCTATTAAAGAAGGCCTCGTGGACTTCTATCGAAGAAGACCTCTTGAATTTCTATCGAAGAAGACCTACACGACTATCACAGAAGACCTTTTGAACTTCTATCGAAGAAGACTTCATGAAGAAGACCTACACGACTATCACAGAAGACCTCTTGAACTTCTATCGAAGAAGACTTCATGAAAATCTATCGAAGAAAAACATTAAACTATCAAAGAAGACCTTTTCAACTTCTTCTATCGAAGAAGACCTCTGGCACTTCTGACGTAAAAGATCTCATGAACTTCTAAAGAAGACCTTTTGGGCGATAAAGAAGACTAATATCGAAGGTTTCTATCGAAGAAGACCTCTGGGACTATCAAAGAAGACCTATTGACTTTCTATCGAAGAAGTACTGTTGGACAAATATCGAAGAAGACCTCTTGAACTATAAAGAAGACTTCTATCGAAGAATATCGAAAAAGAACTCTTAAACTATCAAAGAATACTTCTATCGAAGAATATATCTTTGACTTCCATCGAAGGAGTCCTCTTGTACTTCTATCGAATATCGGAGAAGATCTCCTGGACTTCTATCGAAG